GCAGCACCAAGGCATAGGTAAGGGGGCTAGCTGCCCTTTGAGACATGGCCTCCCCTGCTCAGACCCAAACAGGGGACTCCCATGTACCAGTGAGTGTAGGCCGCAGCTGCAGACCAGTGAGACCAGTACAGGCTGGCTCAGCCTGGCCCTGACCCAGGTGTGGCGCAGGAGGCCACACGTCAGGAAGGCTGGGAGAGGGGCCAGGCCAGCTAAGGACACTGAGTGGTTATAGGGCAAGGCCACGGGGTGCAAAAAAGTGGTGAGCCCAGGGGCCAGGAGCTGTCTGGGTGGAGAGCCATGGCTGGACTCATATATATATATGTATACATATGTGTATATATACACACACACACATATGTAAAATGAGCATCTTTAAACAAAGCAGAAGCCAGTTTTACAGTTGGTTTCAGAATATAAATTGTGGTTTATTAGCTACCTAATCAGGAACACTTCGCTATATTACTTCCAAACAGTTGTCTTGTAATAATTTGTTCCCCAAAGAACTGGAGTTGACTCAGCTTGGAGGTTTCACTAATGATCTTTTGAATCATCTCCTCCTCCATAAGTTTTGTCCCTCTGCATTAGAAAGCTTACAACGTATTGCCGGTTTTTCACTAATGATCCATGAAATGTAATGAGTTGTGTGGGTTTCCAGATTATTACATGAATGACCTTTAATCGGATGTTTCACTGTGTACTCCAAACTCCAAACTCATATTCCCTAATTGCATGGAGATACATATTTTGAAAAATTCTGCAATCTCCCAACTTAATAGCACACTAACTGACACTACCTGCAGTTCCAACCTGGCTAGTTAATTTTCATCAAAATGTAAGCACAGCTGTCTTTTCAGCTGTGTATCACCTGGGTATTAGGGGAAAATGAATTTCTCTCTCAATCAGCATATCGTAATTATTCTGAAACATGTAAACACATTTAAAACAGTAGGTATATATTTTTGTTCTTTCAATTCATTTCTTAGTATCTATTTTTCTCATTTCTGCTTTGTATCCTTTATAGCACTTATTGTACTCTGAAACTATGTTGTTTGATGATTGGATTATTGTCTGTCTTCCTCACTGGAATGTAGCATCTGTGAACAAAGGAACTTCTGCCTTGTTTCACGCTGTATCATCATTGTGTAGAGCAGCACTTGTCAAATCACAGGTTTTAAATAGTCACTTGACAGCTTCTGCCATAGAATGCTAGATTTTAAAGCTGTGTTTAATCACAACAAAAAAATCATGAGAACATTTTATTATTAATAAGCAAACATATTGAGTAAAATATGAGCATACTAAGTCAAAGTTTTAATCTACCTTGAGTATCAAGTGTCCATATTTCTAATCATTTCTAAGTTAAATGAAAACTTATGTTATTTAATTAAAAAAACAAAACAATTTCTAAAAATTATGTTCAGCATGGGCTTAGGATAAGGCACAGAGCTTGCTTCAAGAATATGTTTCTAAAATAAAAGCATAGTTAGTTACAAATCAAAGTGGACTGCAAGGAGTTAGCAATAAGCAGAGCATATGTTCAAACCAGGAAGCTATCTATTCCCTTTAGGATGTTACAGGATAAACTGAGGCACAGTAAAAGTTTTAAGAGTTTATTTGAGCAGAAATCAATTTGAATTGAGCAGCATCCAATCTAGTAGATAGAAAAGAGCTAAGAGAAGCTATACAAAATCAGACTTTTACAGGCAGAAGGGAGCAGGAATAAGGAAGTTATGCTGGACAAAAAGGCAGGCTGGTTACCATAAAGTTACATAAGGTTACTTTCCTTTAGGAGTGGCAGGGGTCTGTCTATTACACAGATTACCTCACTAGTTCTAGCTGAGAGATTCCTGATTGACTGGTGTAAGATTCCTCTTCCGGAAGAGTTGAAACTGTAATTAAGTCTTGCCTTGGTTTGATGATGTGGGACTTAGTATTTGGGGCCTGTTATGGGGAAAGGTATCTTTAAAGAAATAACTAAATGATTTTGAAGACATCTTAGGACATATAAGTGATCTATAAGCAAAAAGGAGGAAGTGTAACATGGAAAAAGGCAAGAGACGTTGGCAGCTATTGCACATGTTGGAGAATTGAGTTTTGTTGGAGTTGTGTGGCAAATAAGGTTAGAAGGAAGGTTTGGGTGTTACTGTACCAAGTCTTACATTCCAGGTTAAGAAATTATATTTAAATTACTGAAACAGAGAGAATCAATAAATGTTTATAATTATAGGAGTGAGCTTGTAAGAACACTGCTTTCGTATGACTAGTATAGCCATGATTCACAGATATAGAGAAAATACTAGAAGGTTTTTGCTTAGGAGCTGGGAATGTACTTTTATTTGGAATCCCCATTTTCCCCAGTCTTTTCAAGTCTTTTATTTCATCACTTTTTGTAAAATTAAAGTAGCTTTCTGATTCTTCTGTAGAACTATTATAGCAGGACAATTGGGAAACTCCTGCCAAACCACTCCATAAAGTCACTGAAACGGCAGTGACTGGCTGGGTCATGTCAACTTACACTCATCCCAGGTTATTGAGAGCCAAGCACTTATCTCTTAGACA